TTTCTTAATTCAAGGTCACTTCTTAAAATAAAGTTCAATATATTCAACTTTATCTTGAGAACCAACCAATCGGATCAGTAGCGTTGGTCAGCTGATCGCTACAGCTGGAATTAGAAGATGGGTACGAACTATCGATACTGTACAAACGTCGATAGTCGATATTTAAATCGTGATGTTCGATCGATTTTATATCGCTGTATGGACAGATGGTTCGGTGATAGTTGTACTTGTAAGAAAAAAAATGTTAACAATTATAATAAATAAAGTCAGTGGTCATGTTCACTTCATCCCGTAACAAAGTGCGTATAATGGTAGTTTCAGCAGAACATACCAGTATTGCTACAGCATAAAGTAGATAAAAAACTAGCATGAAAAATATAAACATGGGTGCTAAATTGCCCTCTTACCAAGATACAGGGTCTTGAAATTATATTCTAGAAAACGAAAAAAAAAGATGGAATGGATTAAGATAACATATGATCCATGCACAGGCGTTGTCCTCCTATGGATATATTATATTTATTTACTCGTTTCATGTTCCCTGTATTTTAGAGTAAATAAATATTATTATTATTATTATTATAATCTTAAAATTTTGTGCTTGTAGTACTCGTACTGACGTCATAGCATTTTCATGACTGAGACTGTACCAGTGGTGACGTTGGGAAGGTACTTTGTCATTAACTACGAACCAGGTGTACACCTGGCCAATGCTGTTTATTCGTAGCCCACCAAATATGTAATCTTTTTTGATGTTTATTGAGGTAAACAGATGAGTAGCATGTAACTTCTTTTTGTGACATCTGTACTGTTGGTATTAACAAATCTGGTAAAGCCCAGGACCAAATTAAGGACTGGTGTTTGATATCACCAATGAAAATTTGTTTACACATACATGCTTTCTCTGAATGAGAATTTTGGCAATCAAATGTATACTGCCAGATTGATAATTTATACATATGTACAGAGCAGTATCTCCTAAAGGGGCGTGGTGAGATGTTTCTGTTTACTGTTAGCTGACCAAATATGACAGGGATATTAAGCCAATCATTTTTTTGTTTCACAGTGTTAACATACTTGAAGGAGACAGCTGGAATGAAGATCATCATTTATTTCATGGATGCCAATTTAATTGTCAATGACATCAGGAGTTTGTTTCCTAGTTTGAAGAAAAAATTTGTTTTTTACGTGTTTTTTTTTGTTGAGGTCAATTTTGTTTGCTTTCACCCATTAGCAGTGTGTGCAAAATTTTTTTGATTCAGATATCAGAGAGGTTATATTTGTATTCCAGTCACTCCTCTAACTACAGATGTGTTTTTTGTTATTGTAGTACTTATGTTTCCGCAATAAATATACATGATCAATTAACAAGAGATAGTGCTTGCATGATATTGCACTGAGCAGGTTCATAATATAGAGAAAAATCCAGATGGGTAGAATACTTCTATGTATGTACAATGTACTGTAATGAAGAATTTATTCTATTATGGCTGGGACTGAACAACAAATATTTTTTTAATTATACATTTTTTTATTATCCTTAATTCATTAATAGCCAAACTGATGAAATAAATACTTCCTTTATTGAGGATGTGTTATGCACCTATGATCATGGAACTGCCTCAATATGGGGAAGGTCATGAGTCAGATTTCGTAATGTAAACGAATGAAATCGCCGACACATTCCTGACATTCCTGATAATCGTTGTCTGCATACTTTGAATATTTATAGTTCCACCAGATTTCTAGCCAAGAAAGGTGGCGCAGCCGTCAAGGTTATAGTCCAAGAAATATCTTCACATCTGCTCGGGAAAATATTCGGATTCGAATTTTTTGCATGTTATTCGAAAAAGCCTCCTTGTAACAAATCCACATGTTGTCAGGCCCCAGATTGCATCTCTAATTGTTTGCACAACTTTTTCAAATAGATTCCGAAAAATGATGTTTTCGCTTCATTAAAGGTATTATTCGTTTTTTTTATACTCCGCAACGAAACGATGTTTGTCTATAGTTGATTTTATACGAGATGGGAAAATAAGAAAAATTGCTTTTGCGACACCGAAAAACGATCTGAAAAAACGTAAATGTTAATGTCGCCATACTTCATTAATTACCATTAACACAATTGCGATACCTTTTAGGGGATACCGTTATTATAAACCTTTGTACTCAGTTGATAAGCAAGCGCACGCTCAATGTATATTCAGCGTGCACGAGATATATTTCAACTCTCTCTCGCGTTTACATAGACTATACATTGAGCGCGCATTCAATTCATAATTACTATGCAACTATTTACAGTAACTGTACTCCCTAAAATGCTCTGGGATTTTGTTATTGGTTGGTTGAAGCGTGTGTAAGATTTGACAACATCAAAATATTCATTTTTCATATTGTTTTTGGAGTAGCAAGTGGTATTATTTTGAACTTTTACATTGCTTATATATGTCAAGTCCACAGAAAAGTTCTAAAGCTCATTTTTTGTTCCGAATGTCCTAAAAACCGCAAAATACTTTAAATAAAGCGAACAAATCAATTTTTGTAATGTGTTTATAACAATTTTTGGCGCAATTTTGGGCTTAGTCACATGCAGATTCTTTAACAGGGGTCCTTGAATCATAGTATGCAAAAATCGGAAACGGAAAATTTTTACGAGCTGATGTTCCGATATTATCTGGACTACTATCCGAGTTCTGAGACTGATTACCAGTGCATTGACGCAAGCGTGTGGGTAGGGGCCACTTGTCAATGTCGAGGCTGGTCCGCAAGTCCACGTAGCACAAAAGCCACAAAACACTCCTTCATCTGCTACATTGACGTTAAACATGTGATTTTATTAGTGTGTTAAATGTTGAAATTCTCGCCATTGCTACATCGGCAATCCTGGCCGCACATGCGCATTAAATGCTCATTTTCTCAAGTTAAGTTACGTTAAGTCTTGCATGAACCCACCATAAGAGACCGATAGTTTATTTTTACGTAAAAACGAATGCTCTTTAAATTATCACATTTGGCTTACCTAAAAGATTGTTATGTCGATACAGCAGTTGGCTTTATCCACTTGTCCTAGCAAAAAGGATGCCATTTTAATCTTTACGTATTGATATTTGGATGCAGTATAAAATTGCCAATCTTAAAACTGATCCTAAGTGTTTTTAGTACAATTGTTGTTTCGTTTTCCCTGAAACGGTTAATGACATTTTGTATATATTGTATTAAAGAGTACGAAATGTTGGCTATAGCTTTAAGCTATTTCATCAGCGTGAGTCGGGGCAAAATATCTTCTTAGGATCAGTTTTTCTGTTTTCTACATCATTTAGAGCAGCTTCATAAACAACACACTCAGTCAGTTACTTACGTAAACGATATTTCTGTTCTGAATAATCATTTACCTTTCATCCTTATTGATATTTTCCTAAGATGTCTTGCAACTGAGCATCTATTTTTACAATATGCTCCATTTTATTTTTCTGAAACAGTTGTTATACTGACTATTTCTACTCAAAATATATTTACCAGGATATTTTCTAAGAGCACAACGTGATCTATCACTACATGAATTTTCTTTAAGATTGACGAGTGGTCAAATTTCATGTTTTGTGCCTTGTACATTGAGCTTCATTAGATAATCAGATTTAGGTCATCTCTATGAATCAAACTGTCTGATTTGTATCGTTAAACTTATAATCTATATCTGTCGTTCAATATCGGAACGTAAGCGATATGCCAAATTTAATTAAACCGATCAAAATATTAATTAGGCCAAAACAGCTAACCAGATTAATTGGCTTTATTGAACTCCAATTTATAAAATAGTTTACTTAAGTCTACGAGACTAGCTTAATTAAAACAAAACGCAAACGTTTACATTTATTAAGCCGTTGACTTAGATTAACTATACCAATCTTTCAAAATTAATGAGCTATTAAAACGAGTGTATTTGCTCCAAGTAAAATAATTTAATTATATTTATTTAACTTGTCTAATCCGTTTAGGTAAAAGTGTTTGCTTCTGAAATATTTTATTTAGATTTGAAAAGGTGTTTGGATAATATTTTTAATGTGAAATAACGCATTGCATTTTACTGAGTGATGTATATTATAACTGTGCTCTGACAAATTTTAGATACTGAAAAACTGGAAAAACTTGATATCAAACTACTGTTGCACGGAGCTGACAAAATTTCGATTAATTATACTGTGTCGTTCAATAGGTACCTAAGAAAAACCGATTTCCAGCCACTTTTTACTTTCTACATCATCTCAAATATTTATTATGTTTGCAACTAAACAAAACTTAGCAGATCATTATTTTCAAAAGTGCTTACCTGGCATATTTCCTAAACAGGTTGATTCAACTTCTATTAGTTAGTCAATCTTCTGAATCTAGAGCTTATATGAACTCTCCGTTAGATTCTCATAGATGTTCAATATTTGTATTTCTATTTATCGTATTCAACAGCTATCTCTTACTCTGAAATCTTGGAAATGGCACAATAGATGATTTTTTAAAGAGTGATCTGTAACACTGGCGAAGCTTTTACCCCTTGGCGGTATAAGGAGCATTAAAGACTTAGATCGTGTTGGATACCCGTGCAGCAACAGGCTGCTCATAAGTATCCCTACACGATGACGAATATGGTTCATAATAAAACATCAGGATACGCTTGACCCCTTACAATAACCCGCTCAAAATGTTTTTCTGAAAATGAGCAGTAGACACTGAAATGAACGATTTTTATTATTTTAGCAGTAAGGTTGTGACAAAACTTCATCAAAATCCGACAGGTGCTACCTAAGTTATACAGGGGACCAATGATTAGCGGACAAACAGACAAACCGACGGAAATGGGTGAGATGGTTTTTGAATATGTACATGTCATATAACATAAAAAACAGAATATCTCAATTTCGTAATTTGGCAAAACATAAAATCCACTCAAACATATTCATGAGTATACAAAACCTTCACTGAGTGAGAATATCTACAAAAATTCTTATTCAAAATATCAAAATATATCTTACATATGATACAGGACAGTTCATCAATTTTCCAGTTTTATTCCTTATTTCGTTGTTTCCGTCTCTCCATTTCTTTGTCAACCTAAAACGTGCAGTATTTGTATTTTTGTAAGATAAAAAGGCTATTGTCAATTTTATACCTACTATCGCTTATTTGCTCTTGCTGTCAATCGCCCATTCACTTTGCAGAGCCCAATGGACTCTTTTCTAGGCAGGATACCTAAGATGCGCTCACTAAATTAGTTTTCATATTTTAAATAAACATCAATCTTGAAAACATACCATTTCCAAAGAAACACTATAAAGAGCTCCAATCTATCTGGGCAAGTTCACATATTTCCAGAATAGAATCGAAGTACTAATAAATAATAAGTCATATTTGAATGCATTTTCAACTCAAAATCAATCTTAAAACATACAATCCAAAGAAGTAGTATAAGGGGCTTCGATCTATCTGCGCAAGTTGACATATTTCCAGATTAGGATAGAAGGACTAATAATAAATCATATTTGAATACATTTTATGACTATTTATTGTAAGCCCCAAGCTATACAGTTGACAGGTGGTGTTTCACTATGCGCGCATCAAAACTCAAAAGTATGTTTATCCCAAGGGATCAGAATAAGAATTTTTATTACAATAAGAGACAACGTCGGAACTAGGTGTCTTTTGTCCCCTCTTGAAACGAACATAAACTAGTGAAAACTATGGCGATGCAAGTTCGTAGCAGCATATGCGGCCTCAGGAATTCTCAGCGGAAGTTAACTTTTGTGTGAAAGCAATACTACCTCCAAAACTTTCTGAAGCACGAGGAAGAGCATATTTTCTCAGGCGGCCAACTTCTAAAGAGCTCCAAAATTGTACAAAAAGAGAGAGTAAAGTATGCAAATCTTAATTGTATGAGTCTGTTTGAATAACTTGATCCCCTTAATGTTTTTTCTCGGAGGGGCCAACTTGTACAGAACATAATACTTTACGAACCCATTTTCAAAGAAACACTGTAAAGAGTTCCGATCTATCTGGGCAAGTTTACATATTTCCAGAATAGGATCGAAGTACCAATATTAAGTCATATTTGAATACCTTTTCAATACAATATCAATCTTAAAATATACAGTTACCAGCAGCTTCTAGACAGTAAATGTACTTACTACGGGAAGATCGACTACACAGTGCTTTTCAAAATGGACCCTTCTTTCACTAACTTACAGAGCCCTTTTCTCATTCTCATTCAATCTTCATTTTAGTTCTCATCATTCTTCCTTTTCGAAAAAAAAATCTTCATTTTTGACCCCCAACATGAGCCCTGCCGATCTGCTGCCGTTTCGCTTTGCAAAAACAATCTAACCTAAAATAGATATTATGTATTTGGATATTCATGGTCGTATGACATGTACATCATGAAGACATTTCGTTCATTCCGTCGGTCTTGTCGGCTAATCTTATAACCCGCCTAGAAATTGAGACGTACGCTCGGTTTTAATGGGATTTTAAAACAATGTTGCTACACACTGCAAGGACGCAGAGGCTAGTTTTTGAAAATCGATCAAGTGGCAGCAAAGAAAGAGGCCAAAACAAAAAGGATTATTTATTATTATTACATGTTCAGACGAACAAAATTTAGAACAAACAGTCCGTTCGATTCTAACGCTGTTTCCATTTTCAGTTCGTTTCTCACACAAATGTTCACAGTGGACTGACTTGTACATCTAATTGCCTCCTGTGTCCATCCTAAGGTCGGTGAAATTTATCTTCTAATGATGTTGACGATTCTCAGTTCGAGACTGTGTCACTAAAATGTTGATATACTATATAAGTTGCAACTGAAGTCATACATCTAGATATAACGCCTTCACCAAAATTGGCGAGCCTAAACATTGATGTTTGTACAACAACGATAAAATATTACAACAAACTTACCTCTTCGGTATTTCCTCTTCTATCGTTATCTAAACTCACAGAATGTGGTACCTTGAAGCGGCATTTAAGATCGTGCATATAGTAGCAACTATCCAAGATACAAACAATCAGTCATATCATAAGCT